GTACTTCCAAAAATGAACTAGCGCCATCTGTCGCAAACATGCGTCATGACTTTTCCGATAACCCAATGTCATATATAAAAAAAAATGCACATTTAAAATTATTTTTCCTTTTTTCGTTACCTCAACCCACATTCGTTAAGTCTGATATTTACGAACCTGAAAAATAATATGCAGAATACAGGATGAGAACAGTAAAGAGAAATATAATCTGCACTATTCATCCTTTTACTTGGACCTCAGGAAAATGAACAAATCCTACGTACAGAACTGTACCCAGTGAACCTCTTAGGTGACCAGCCATGAAGTGAGCAATACTTCTGCTGAGTCACCTATGCAGACACAACCACCTCGTGGAGACTCAAATGTATATTTGAACCAAATGCCCCCTCCTTGCCGAATACATACCAGAGGAGGGTACTATGGTTGGGTTGGAGGGAGAAGGTGAACACTTGGGTTACAAAACCCTTCAACTACCTCTCTTTCTTGATTCTGAAGGGTGGTAAGAAGAGGGTAGGTGGTAACAAAGTGTAGGCAGCAAATGTATACTTCCTTACCCCTTATTTTCTCCTTAGCATTCAGTCTAAGTTATTGTTTTACGCAATTAAGGCTTTAGTTGAAAGTTATTGTTCAACTTCTGAACAAAGGGGCTTGTTTGAATTCTCCTCCTTCCCAATCTCTCTGCAGTACTCAAGAGTCTCCTTCCATTGCTGGTAAAATACAACATTCTCCTGATTCTCCGTCTAATTGCTTTTACTTTCTCTTTTCTGTTTAAGGGACACCCTTCATTCTACTGTTAATGAAAGGAAATGATTCTCTGATCTTTTCTCTTCATATATTCTCCCTCATCAATTTAATCCACTCCCATGGTTTCTATTCTCTAAGTATATATGATCTGAAAACCTCTCTCCCTAACCCATCATGATTTCAAGCTCCATAGCCATTTCCAACTTATCAAATATTCTACCCGTCATATACGAGGTGTGATCAAACAATACGGTAAATGTTTAAATTAAAAAAAATTTATTACAGCAAAAGACACATTGGCATTAATCCCCCTCAAAATACTCTCCGTTGCTTTGAACACAGTTATCCCATCATTCTCGCCACTTTCTGAAGCAGTTCTGGAAGTCCTCTTTCATGAGTGTCTTTAGTTGCAACGTTGTGGCTGCCTTGATGTCCTGAATCATTTTGACTTTGGGGAAGAATCAGAAGTCTCATGGTGCCAGATCTGGTGAATAAGGTGGATGAGGACACACTGTAATGTTTTTATTTGACAGAAATTGCCGTATACCAGAAGCGACGTGTGACATGGAACATTGTCATGATGGAGGATGATTTACAGCACACTTTAAAATACACCTTCTATCAACTGTAGCTCACAACCTATTGACTGCACCAAGCAAGGTGAAACTTGTCACACACTGTTACTAAAGCTCCACATGCTGCTTCCTGTATTGAAGATCCCTGCCTTTTCATTGGATGGCACGAGGCAGCAGCATTCACTGTATTTTGTGATCACAACAGAAAGGCTCCGTGTCACACATTGCTTCTGGCACACAATTTCTGTCAAATAAAAACATTACGGTGTGTCCTCACCCACCTTATTCACCAGATCTGGCACCGTGCAACTTCAGCTCTTTCCCAAAGTCAAAATGACCAGAAAAGGTAAACGTTTTGAATCAATTTAGGACATCGAGGCAGCCACCACAGCACAACTAAAGACACTCATGAAAGAGGACTTCCAGAACTGCCTCAGAAAGGGGCAAGAACGATGGGATAAGTGTATTTGAAGCGAGGGGGGATATTCTGAGGGGAATTAATGCCAATGTGTCTTTTACTGTAATGAATTTTTTTTTTATTTAAACATTCACTGTATTGTTTGATCGCACCTTGTATATGAGTACATGTATGTTGGAGCCAAGTAGATTTCTCTCTGTTCCTGAAATATTCCCTATATTTTACCACTTTTCATTTTGGTGAAAATTCCTCTATTTATTCTTTTCATGAACTTTCTATCCATTCTTCAAAGCTGAAGCCAAATGCCATTTTCTCTGAAGCTCTCTCACACATTCCCCAGGGGATGGTATTTTACTCCCTTCCTTAAAACTTTTTAGCATTTTATATGTAGTTCTGCATCTTTAACTGTGGACATGTTCAGAATGTACTATCAGTTGAAATTGCTTTTCCCTGAGGTCTTGAGCTCTGAAATCTCCCTCTCCAATCAAATTCTCCTATTCTTCCCCTCCTCCACTGAATCGCTCATACTGATCTTTGAGTTTTCAATAGCAATAACCTATGACACAAAAACCAATCTTTAAGTCTATTGTATCTTATATTATCATTTGGTCATCTCCACATCTTAAATCCAATGACAACAATTTAACAATAAGGATATCCATTTCCACCAGGATATTCCGCAGACACTTCAAATTTCGCATGAAGAAACCTAAATTATCTTCTCCCACAAACTTCTCTAATCTCTCTAAACTAAACAAAAATCTTGATTCCTCACTCATTACACACGGTTATGCACCAAGATATACGAAGACCATCCCTAAACCTATGAGTTCTTTACCCCTAAATTCATTGCCAATGAGGAGCTCATCACTGTTTATATAACTGGTCTTTTCTGCATCCAGTAGTTCCTACCTACAATTTATCTTCTGTTACAATACTTAGTCTTTCTTAGATACACTGATCTAAAAATGCCATACTGTCCATCTTTAAAACCTTCCAGAGCGCTATATTTCCTGTAAGAGAATGTCCAAACTACTGAGCATGGCATTCAATGCTATTACGTGCCCATTTTCCAAACACAGATCCTAAATTCAAGACACTGAAATACACTCTTATACGTTTATGCAATCACCATTCCATGGTTGTTGAAACAGTTCTCACTTAAGTCTAGTTCACCTGTTCTCTGAAGACTGCATTAGACTTCCCCATGTCCCCACCTCCCAAAGTCTGAGTCACCTCCTCCTCTGCAATTCTACAGTACTGTGTTCATGAAACTAACAGACCACTTATCACATTATGTTACACATACACTCATGGCCTTCCTCCTTCAGTCTGTGGGCTCTTTGAAACAAGCTTGGTTTTTTTATTCATTTTTTTATCCACAGTATCTAGTATGGCACATAAAAAGCTTTCAACAAATGTTTATGAAGTAAATAAATCTCATTTCAGAATGCCTAATATCAATCTACCCTGGATATTTTAGCAAATAATTTGGGGTAGGATAGAAGTGGTGGAAAAGTACAGATGGGTCTTGAAATAACAAGGTGATTCCAGGACACTTTCTCCACTGAGTTCCAGAGTGAGAAGAGAAGAGCCATTGAGGTTATGCTCCTCTCCATGGCTTTTGCCAGACATAGAGCCATAATAGAGCAACAGGACTACAAGGAAGAAGCAACCAAGACAGCAGAGAATTGTAGGAGAGCAGTGGGAAGAAGGAATAAATAGGGAAGAATAAAAATCCTACGCGGAAGCTCCAAAAAGGGAAGTGTCCAGGGCCTGAGATTACAAACTCAGGGCTTGCTCATGACTGCTCGTGACCATCAGCATCACTGTTTCACTGCCCTCATCTACAGCTATTATTTACTGATCACTTAGCTATTAGGTGTCAGACACTACGCTAAAAACTGCCACATGTATCATTTAATGTTGATGACAACCCTATCGGGAAGGTCTTATCCACATTTTACAGACAATAAAACAATCCTATAAACAATTAACTCTGCTACCAAGGTTTCATAGTTAATATGTTAAGTCACGGAGCCAGAATGTGAATGAGGGTTAGGCTTCAAAACCCAGGGGTGTCATAAGCTGGGGGCTGGCTTCAGTGCTCTGCATTATTTAGTTATCTTTGTAAGTATAGGTCTTATTTTCTCTAGTACTAGAAAGGTGCTTTTGGGGGTAGAGTCCATGTCTAATATTTTTTATTTCTTCCCTAGCATCTCATAACGATCTTTCTATCAAGTAATCACTCAGTATTTAATTTCTTATATCTGTGTACTAGAAACAAAAAGGAAGCATATCAATCTTTAGTTAGCATTAAGCCAATTAAAAAAAAAGATGATGCAGATCCTTTGACAACTGTATGTGCTGGGGTAAAACTTTAAGTCATCAATTGTAATAGGCCCTAAAACACAAACCACAGCTATTAAAATAAGGACAGTCTGTGTTTTGTTTAATAATAAAAAATGTTGTCTAAGATACAGTGCTCTTTTTTTCAGATCTGGGTATAAAGATAATAATTACTGTATGAGTAGTCATACATTGTATCAAGCACGTGAACAACTTAAATGTGGAAATAAACATGCTTTGATTATTGGCAAAACCTCTTTTATTTCTCTCCTAGAAAGATGTAAAAACATGAGAGTAGACTTATATCTTCTACATAGGTTGAGTTCTAAAAATCAATGTCAGTACAGAAAACAAAAACCAATTAGAGACAAAATAATCCTTGGAAATTCCTTAAAGCATAATATAATACAGTACTAGCTCTCAATAAATTCATCTCAGAAAATTTTTCATCCTGCACAGAACAGACCACCATTTCTTCTGCTACGTGCCGCATGAAGTATTTGGCTCATGTTTAGGGGCCATATTGAATGAAAGAGCATAATTTACATGCTGGAATCATATTCAACACTGTTAGATACTTAGACCACATCAGTTCTTGTAACAGGTATTCAGGAGCTGATTCCATCTGAGAGAACAGGGGATTCACATCTCATGCTTGCTAGGCATCTGTTCATTGTGGAAAGAGAGCTAGAATTACTACTGTATTTAAATTAGAGTTTTGCTTTTGGGTGTTTTGGTTTTTGGCTTGATCCCAAACATTTGAATTTTTATAAATTATATTCCCGGAACTGTGACTCTACTGTATGGGCTATTTCATTTATTGTGCAACCACAGATGCCTAGAGTTTTAGGGAAAAATAATCGAATACTATAGTAGTCGTCTAAAAAATAACAGTAATAATTAGCCTGTCTTACCTTCATCTATTGATGCTTCACTACTGTATCCATCATACTCTGCAGATAGAGGACTATATTTTTGTCTTGTTTCCCAAGTATAGTTCTTTTGTCTACAATCGGCCAGTGGCAGTCTGGAATTGTGTGTTCTGGATAAGGCCTCATGGTATTTACCCAGTGCTTCATCTTCACTTTCAGAGGATGAACCATGCTCATCTCTGTCCATGTAGGAATTATCTATTTGCAACGATAAGGAGGGCAAATCAAAATTTTACTGCAATAAAGTTATGATGAATTTAATACACACACAGGGATACATATATAATGTCATATATATCCACACACACTCAAATATATATATATATATATATATATATATATATATATATATACACAATCTGAATTTTCAGCATTAGAGAAGTATAATTTTTCCATTTAAGAAGCCCAAGATTTAGATTTTATGTTTTAATAAAAAATATTGAATTAAAGAAAGAAAATTATTGAATTGCTATATTCTAATTATATAAATAGTGTTAGTCACAGTGATTCTCCAACCAAGTTACACATAAAAAAGTAACAGGGCTCACCACCTTATGCAATTGTTTTCAAAGGATCAGCAGTACACAAAAGCAGTTATAAGTATTGCCAATACATATGGACCTGATTCAAATAATTCATTACATTTTGGTTATCATCTTGGCAAAAATTTTCAGCACTAACAATTCTTAGTGCTTGCTAGGAGTGCAACAGGGAAATGGGCAGATGTACATTATTGATGAAATTATAATTGGTCAAAGTTTTCTAGACAGCAATTTCACAATACATATCAAACTTTTAAATCTGTACAGTCTTTGATCCATTTCTATGAATTTACCAATTCCATTTCTAAGAATTCAGCTTAACAAAATAATTAACAGGTGAGCAAAGATATATATTTGAGACAATTCACTGCATTATGTTTAATAGCAAAAGAAAACAAAAATAAAATATAACCTAAACATCTATCACTGAGCCTCAGTTAAGTAAATTATGCTATATCTATGCAACGATACACTATGCAGTCATTAAAAATGAGGAGGTGAACTTACAAGTACTCACAGGGAAAGAATAATATCATGTTAAGAAAAAAGATAAGGTTATAAAATATAAGGTATATTTATACTTTCATTTAAATACACACACACACACACACTTACATGCAATATATACACACATACATGCAGTATATATTTATATGCACATACAAAAATATGTAGAAAGATATACACCAAACTTAATGCTTATTATCTATGAATAGTAGAATAACTAGAAAAATTTCCCTTACATATACCCACATTTCACATAAAATTTTTAGGTGGTATACATTTTTTATTATTTTAAAAAGCACTAGTTATTACCTTTTAAAATGGTAAAAGTTTTGAAACTGTAGCATGTTGAGATGCATTTAAACTGCGTGTGACACAACCCTCTTAGAATTATAAATCAACTCTAAAAGGGTGAAGAGACCACAGCAGGTGGAAATTATGAGTTCAATCTAGATATTTTTTTCTTTATACTCAGTTGAGATCATCTGTACTAAAGAAATTAAGGTTTGAGATTCAAATGGGAAAACATAGAATAAGTGATTTAAAAATATGGGATGGAAAGTGAATGTTTCGAGTTTGAAGTAAGGGAGCTTGGATGTCACCAATCTAAGTCCCACTCTTTAGTTATGTAAAATAAAACCATAAAAGGGTAAAACATATTCTGCATGCCCAATATGTAGTCACTAGCCACATGCAGCTATTTAAAATAATAAAACTTAAAATCCAGTTCCCCAGTGCTACCAGCCACATTTCATGTGCTCAATAGCCTAGTGTAATTAGTGGTTGTCATGAGGAGCAATACGGATATGCAGAGCTTTTCCATCATCGCAGCAAGTTCTCCTGGACGGTGCGGAGATGATGGCAGATCTGGTCTAGAACCGAATGAAGCATTGCGACTCCCAGTTCAGAGCTTTCAGCACTTTGTAGAATCACATGGTGGTGGTCCTAAGGCAGCAGGACAGCGCTGCGGACAATAACTAGAAATTCCACAGTCACACTTCACCTGTTATAAAATACTTCCTAAAGCAGCCCTGCATTCAGAAATAGAGAAGGCAACTCTTCCTCCTCTTTCTGCACCTTATAAGCTCCATGTCGGAAGCTACAGCACAGGAACTAGTGACATTACAGTTCAGCTGTATACAAGTATAATCCATGGGTCAAACAATTTTAAAAATGACTTTTAGAACTTAACTCATTTAAGTTTAGTACTGACTACAATCTAGAACACTTGAGAGGTATTTGATTTCTTTACGTAGCAGCATGCTTCTTAATGAAAACAAATCAAAATTAAAATCTCTGTACTGCTACTTGTGAAGTATTTATTACTAATATGCATCCTACTGTTATTTTCTGAACAAAAATAATATGTAAACTATTCTACTTAATTTTGTTTATTTCTTTATTTCTGCTACTTCAAGTAATAAGACTACCAAAACTAAACCATGGCTACCAAAAACCACTGCAGATGCCAAAATCCAAGGATGCTCAGGCCCCTTACACAAACTGGCACAGTATTTGCCTATAACCTACGTACACCCTCCTGTATGTTTTAAATCATCTCTAGATTACTTATAGTACCTACTACAATGTACATGCTACGTAAATAGTCGTTATACTGTATTGTTTAGGGAATGATGACAAGAAAACAAAGTCTGTACATGTTCAGTGCAATCATCATAGGCCTTAACTACATGCATAGCACACATTAATGACAACATAAATTTAAAAAAAAATTTTTTTGTTCCATGGTTGGTTGAATCCAGACACGAAATCCACAGATACTGTGGGCTGACTATATTTCCGAAAAACTGGCATTCCTTTTTAGTTAGCTCCTTCATCCTGAATCAGCCTCTACTATATCACTGAAAAAGCATTCATACAATTGAAAACAGCAGATCCCTATTACTTATGAAGTCGTGTAGCAGAGCTTAAAAAGTCCCTAGTTTCTACTGCTCGAATTTTTTTATTTTATGAGAATCTAAATTTACAGAAAAATTCCAGAAGCATGTTTTATAAATAAAAGCCAGTGTACTTTTGGCCTTGTGATCATATCAGCAACAAATGAAAATGATTGAGGTATTACCAGAAGTAAGTAGTAACAATATGAAGCAATTCTGCAACCAAAACCAAGTAACTCTTGGCCAATTGTTTTGAAAACTGTCAAAAATATTATGGTTGAAAACTATAAATACTTAGTTGGCTCTTAATTCTACATACAGAATTCACGACTAATAATAGATTGTCTATGTCTACTCATTGTAAACACAGAACAGTCATATAAGATTCTGAATGTATGGCTAAATGAACAGGCATATCCTGAAGCATGTTACTCAGTAAAATAAAGTCTGTTGCTCTCAAAGAAAAATATAAGACACTTGATATAGATACTTACTGGGATAGACTTGAAGAGCAACACTGTATGAAGGACTTAGGGGTTAGTTACACAAATGTAGGATTTTAAAATGCATCTACAGCACACCAAATAAACTCCAACTTAAACATGCACACTAACTACCACAGCACACCATGGATTTTCTGGTTGTAAAATAAGTGGACATTAAGAAAAATTAGGGCCATTGAAAAATTGGCCAAATAGCACAGGGACCAAGGGCAATACTGAACTTCAGAGTTGTACAAATAACATAAATGCTCTTGAAATGATTAAGAGAAAAAAAAATGAATGACTTTAAAAATGTCTCCCAAGGCTTGATCACTGCACTGTACACCTGAAGCTGATGTTGTATAATATTGTATGTCAACTATAAGTGTATATATATATATATATATATATATATATATATATATATATATATATATATATATATATATATATATATATATATAGTCACGGGATGTGGAGTATAGTGTGGGAGTGGAGTCAAGGGAATTGTAATAGGTATGTATGATATTGGGAGGGGAAGTGGGGCAGCAGATTGGGGACAGGGGTTGTCACTTCGAGGGGTAAAAAGTATAACTATTTGCACTGTGTTGTACAGCTGAAACTAATTTAAAAAAATGTGTATTTCACAATTAAAAAAAAAATGTCTCCCAGTAAGAGATTCAAGAAAGTCTTATAACAGATATATAGACATGTATAGGAAAGTTCAGAAATTTGGATGGTGTTTTCTAATTTAAAAAAAAAACAAAAAAACAAGAAAAATTTTATCACTCAAACCCAGTAGGAGACCTCACCTTTTTCTGGTATTATTTTAGAAAATTTTTCATCTTTACTCTTTGCTGTTCCTTTTGTGGCAGAAATGGCTTCATTTTTCTTTCTTTTTATATCTCCTTTTACTTTGTAGCATTTTGTTGGATTTATTTGTTCTTTGATTCTTCCACGTAACTCATCTTTAGAATTAGTTAATGGTGCTGTCTGTATGTCTTCTTTCATAACGGATTTCTGCATCATATGTCTATTACTGGCCAAAATACCTTTTGGAGAACACTCATTTCCTGAATACTCGCTCCCTTTGGATCCTTTACTTTTCATATGTTTTTCAGCTTTCTTTAAATGATTTTCTTTCCTTTCTGGATACATTACCTCCTTTAAATCATTCTTACCATTACGGGAAATTCCTAATCCATGTTTGTTATAACTGTCAGTATGTCCAAGTTCTTGAGAAGCAGATCCTGTCCTTGCATTCTGCTTGGTAACGGATATCCTGCCATCACTCACATGGTCTTTCAAAGAAGAATCACCAGCATTATTGGTCTCTTGATATTTTGATAGAGTCTGTTGCCTATCATTAGTATGTTTAAATACTCTTTCCTCATTTATTCCTTGATCTTGCTTTTGTGAAACTGAAGTATTACAATAATTTCTTTGATTTGCTCTGTGCTCGAAATTGGATTGTGTTTTCTGACAAATAGTGTTTTGGGAGACTTCCGGTAACGTGGCGTTTTCTTGTTTAGAGGTGACTGCTTCTTCTGTTGCTGCTGACCTTTCCTCTTCTGAGCGAAAGCCATTTATCACACTTGTTACCTGTTCAGCAACTGAGTCACTTAAAGCATAGCTGACTTCGCCAACAGCGCTGGTCAAATCTTCTACAGCATTACTGATTGTGTCCACGAGCGAGGAAACTGAGGGCAGATTCCGCTGAAAAGTTCTGAAAAATGCCATTTTCTATTTCCTTGTCCCTAAAAGGTGCAATAATGAAATTTTCTCTTCTAAAATAACCACTGTGGAATCTGACTTTCACATTTACTTAAATGTTGCTACTCATGATCTCAATATTCATATTTCACATTGTGGCTTTTTTAATCTTTCTGTAAACGCTTTGTGCATTGGAAGAAACATGTTGATGCAAAGCCTCTTCCGAAAAAGAAAAAAAATCAAACCACTTGGTTTAAATGTAATGACATTTTTTCCCACTCCATAGCTATCATAACAGCAGCAAGACAATATTTTCCCCTCAAATATTATTGGTTTTTAATTCTATACCTGCAAGAAGAAGTATAAAAAGCATTTTTATTATATACTTTTAGTTCATTTATTAATAGTTTATGTAGGGGAACTACCCTATCTTATTAACAAACTGCCAATATCATTTCAAATTAAGAAGAACATTAAGGGGAAAATATCTAAACAATTGTGCATAGAGGACAAACAAGGGAGGGCAGACGGTGATCTTACAATAACTCTAGGAGGTAAATATCATTATTCCTATTTAATAAATAAAAGAAAACCAAGGCTCAGAAAAAATTAAGAAGGTCCCCAAAACCTTTCCATTGGTCCTCAAGGTAAAAAAATACAGAGGGTGCCAAAAAAATGTATACACAAAAACTATTAAAATTGGAAATACTCAATATACGAAGTCCAGCAATTAAATTTGCAAACTCATCCTAGAAAAAGTGCTACATACCTCATTGCTGAATATCACTATGGTCACCTTTGAAGTCCTCCCCTTGGGAAGCTATGCACGGATGCCAGTGCCTAGTCCACCCTTCAAAGCAATTTTGAACTTTTTTTCTGGAATGGCCATCAGAGCTGCTGTTGCTATTACCCTAGGTGTCCTGAATATCATCAAAATGTCTTCCTTTCAATATTTCCTTGTACAATAAATTATACAGTTATTTGTTTACTGGCTAAAAACTCCCTCACAGACAGTGCTGTGGTGAGCTGGTGCATTCTCGTGATGCAAGAGTCATGAATTATTTAGAAGTTCAGGTTGTCTAACTTTTTCATGGAGCCTTTTCAGCACTCCCAAACAGTAAACTTGGTTAACTGTTTGTCCGGTGGGTAAAAATTCATAATCTCTCTGATATCAAAAAAGGTTAGCAACATCATTTCAACAAGTTTGTGAACTTAATTGTCAGACCTTGTATACAGATAACAAAAGATGAATACTAGTCAAGTTTGACTTCTGCTATTACAAAAGGTGCTCAAAGTGGTTACCATCAGCGTAATTTTAATACAGATTTTTCCTTTTTAAAAATATGTATACATTTTTTTGGCACCCTCTGCATTTTTATAATAGTAAGAAGATATTTAACTTTTTCACTTTTATTTGCTCACAATGAAAGTAAAAAAGTTACATAAGGCTACATGACAAATTGAATACAGAAGCAGATATGAGAATCCAGCTGTTTTTCTTCTATGCCAGTCATTAAAGAGGTCTTCCAAAAATGTAAACAATGTCACTTTTCTCACCAAATGTTTTTTTTTGTTTTAACAAATATAGTTTTAATTTAAAATTTTTATATTAACATGTAATAGGTTTATTGATCTTTTTACAAATAAATTGATAAAAATACTTTAAAAACTTCTCAGTTTTAACTTCTAATATACTACATATCAATAGATATAACTCACATAAACAATAGCTCTTTGGGGTCCTAAATAATTTTTAAGAGCGTAAAGGGGTCATTAGACCAAAGAAACACCAGAAATGCTGAACCAGAGAAGTAATGGAGGCTGTCCAAAGAGATCTCTTTAACAGTTCATTCTATACAAATGACCAAAAAGCAGGGCTTAAGTATGAGAAACACTTACAAACTTAATCAAACCAAAACTACATCAAGTACTATAGTTCCCTAACACGTCACAGATGTAATTCAGTAACAAATAGATTTTTATTATCAATGAGGCTATCACTTTTTAAGTTATCAGCAAGAAGAGAAAAACATCTCTCCAATATATGTACACAGACAAGAAACGCAGTTTCTCTGCTCTAGTGCCTCAAAATTCTTCTAAATTAATGGCTTCCTTTTATAATTGTCAACCTGCTCCTGCTATCATTTATATAAGCCAGTCTTTGGAAATAGCAAATAAAGAACTCATAAAAATTTTTAAAAATAAGTCCAAGGAAAACTTTTCCATAAGAGAAAGAACAGTAGTGATATAATGCCTATGGTGCCAAGGAAGGCAGAGGAACACTAATTCTTATAACCAGACTTTAACTATACACTAACTTACTAAAGAAAATCACCTTTTCCATACAATAAAACTATCTATCAGCTGAGAATTTAACAGTAGGTAAAGAAAAGGGTAAGTACTTTCAAATGCCTTCTAGGGACATAGGACAAAAGCTCTCTAGAGAGTTATTTGGACAATAGATTGCTATGTAAAGCAGTAAGAGACTTCCCTCTTCTTAAATCACATCCATTCATAATCTCAAAAGCAAATCTTATATATAAAAAATAAAAATGTCATTTTATGACAGTATACAATTAATCTTTATGTAATATATTAGCAACTTGCAGGCAACAGAAAGATAATTGAACATAATTCCTTAGATCTTTTAGTCTCACTGGATAGTGGCTCAAATGTTAGTTTACAGTATGTCAAAACCAACCTTTTTATTATATATTTTTGAAAAATAATATAGGGAAGTACAGATATAAAGAACAAACAAGAGAAGCAATAATGATACTTACAAATTTTATCTTGTGAATTCTTCCTTGTACTGTATCCTGAACCAAGATCTGGAAACCCGCCAACATTTTCAAAACAGAACTTCTTATTAATATAGAGAAAAAGGAGCAGCATCAAGATAATAAACACCCCAACAGCTGACAAAAATCCAAATGCCTCTGGAGATACTAGAGAAAAAAAAGTCACAGCTGTAAGCATTTATTCTTCTTTAAGCTACAAATAAGAAGGAAACCCCCATAGAAATGTTAGATTACTGCCTTACATGAGTTATATTTTTAAAACTGTCATAGTTCACAAGAGCTTTGTTTATAAGAAAAACAAACTGCACAGTTTAAAGAGTGGTTCAATTCATTCAACAGCATTTATTGAAATCTTCTAAAAGTTTCCCTATAAATTATGTTGGAACAACCTTAAAAGACAGGAGTTTACAAAATAGTTATATATTTAGTAAATTGAAGGACATTACAAAAATTTTAACACAAGAATTAGAAAAAGTTATTCTCCATGCATAGGTATGTTACTTAATCAAATTTGTGCGAATGTATATTATTATCCTTATTTCTAAAAGCTTCAATGCCCTTTTTCAGTAAATAAACTCTGGGCTTCTTAACCTGGCATTCAAAGCTCCAGCCTGTCTTTTCAATATTACACTCCAACCAAATGGCTGCACTCATCGCCTCAGAATCAGCTGCGTGGGTTACCACACACCTTGCTTTTGTTCATGCTCTTTCCCTTGCCTGGAATAACCAAGTTTCCTTCTGTCATACCCCACTCATCCAATCAAGCAACCAGTATTTTTGGAGCAGCGGCCATACACCAGGCATTATCATATACACACTTCCTGTCTTCCGTGAACAGCCTGGTGAAGGCAGTTACAACACGGCATAACAAGGGCTACAACTGGGGAACAACAGGGACTGTGAGGCCTATGGAAACACTTAAGCCAGTGTTGAAAGATCAAGTAAGCTTTTCTGAAAGTCATGGTCTCTATGGTTATATTTTAAGAATTAGTAAAAATTAGCCAAGTTAACACCATTCCAGGCAGAAGAAACAGCACGTGCAATGGTCCAGAGACAGATATTCTAGACACGCAGTGAAACTTTACTATGATGAACTACCAGATTCTCAAGAGAATCTGATATAAAGAGAATACATGAAATCATTCATGGAGATTTTGTAGCGCGAAAACAGACAGAATCTTCTCCAACTTCTCCAGTAATCCTCGGCAACCTCTTTCCTTTCATTTGTATTACTTGTCACTACATTGGTCATTTGGAGTTAATAGGAACTGAATTTCTGTGTCCCCAGTGCCTTATATGCAGTACTCAAGTATTAGTTAGGAACGAATCCTAAGCCTCAAATACCCTCTGTAACGTACCCTTTCTTCCTCCACGGCTCAAGCAGAAACTAAGATGTCATCTCCTCCTAGGTTCTTTCATCAGAAGAGCCACGGCAGTTAGCATCTAATTCATTTGTTTAAAAGGAAGTCACCAACCAGTCAGTGACCAGTGCTTTAATCTCCTAGCTTTGAGCAGAGAGTGACTGTCAGGGACGGGCAATGAGAGTGAGGGGAGAAGGCGGTGGGGAGGGGAGAAGTGCTATCTGATATCAGGCTGGTGTTGAGGAACAGCTCCTGCTACCAGAATCGAGAAGTTACGCCCAGGCGTTAGCACAGCCCATCTCGTTCTTAGGCTGAAGAACAGTCAGGAAGAGAACAAAAGTTTAACACAGTGATCTCAGTGTACGACATAAATACAGTGGTATGCATCAAGCCAGAAGGATGAGGTAAAAATAAAAACAGAAGAATTATCATCAGGATTCCTAAAAGTTAGGAGGCAGAACAGAATCTGGTATGAAGAGGCAAAATGCACAATACATTTTAGGAAGAGGCAAAATGCTCAATAAACTTATAGTCAGTATTACATTGTAAACAGGAAATAGGTACAGGAGTTCTCCTTTTGGCCCAGGCCCAAAACACTCAGAAATTTGATGCCTTAAGAGAACACACAGGGTTAGATATTATGCAGCCTGAAAATCTCCCATTACTTAGAAAACTAAATGAGACAGAAAACAAAGCTCACCTCACTTAAGAAAGCTAGTTATTGCTAATAAAAATAGCAGCAAACACATACAACATATATTATGTGCTATTCACTGTTTTAAGCACTTTACATATGTTAACCCTTTTAGGGTTCACAAGCATACTATTATCCCCATTATAAGTTGTGAAGATATTAAACAATGCACCCAGCTAGTAAGAGGCAAAGTCAGGATTCAAACCCTGTCTGGCTGCAGAATTTGTTTTAAACTACTGCTCATACTGCTTCTCTTGTTTTCCTTCTTCTCTTCTTGCCTCTGCCTATCCTGTTCCTCAATCCTTATTTTTGTGTTCCTCTTTCATCTCCCTCCCTCCCGTCTCAATCTAGGGGGAAAGATCAACTATATAAGGATGCTATGCTAAGTACTATAATAGAGGTATGAATACAAAGTATTACTGGGACACAGAGCAGAAGACTACCCGGGGAAGTGACAAATACTTCAGAAAGGAGATGACACTTGAGTAGGGCATGAAAGATTAATAAGCAGTGAAAGGGCCAGTGAAACAGTATGGTCAAAGGCACAGGAACAATGTGCCTGCATCCTGTAAGCACTAACGGGCAGCGGCCATGGCTGTCTTACTGACGTCTGGATTCTCAAAGCATCAGGCACAACAGCACGTAGCTCACATTATATAAACATCTGGAAATGTACAAATGTGTGTTCAGGAAAGACCAAGAACATCGCAGAGGAGCTGTGATTGGAGATGAAAGCAAGGTCCAAAACGTCAAAGAACCTTAAATGCCATCCTAAAGGTTTCGTGCTTGTTGAGCTATTTTTTAAAAAAAAACAATTAGAAAATTGGGATACAGTAGGGAGTGCAGGGGCAAAATATGAGCTCTCAAATCAAGTAGAAGTGGTGGTGGCAGAGAGAGGGGTGAAGTCTAGTCTTTATTCAAAATTGACAATAACCTAATTAAACAGATGTAGGGGACATGGATGAAGACAAATTTAGGGTAACTCTAAAGCGTCTAGCTTGAGTGAATGGGAACACCATTAACCAAAATGGAAGAATAGAAGAAAGGCATGTGGTTTAGGTCATGGGGGCTGAGAGGGAAGGGGGAGGTAGGTAATGAGTTTACTGTCTGACATGTTACATTACAAAAGCCAGTTGAATGTTTCAGTGTGGAGGCCTAATAAAGAGAAGGAAATATAGTATGAGTATAGGGCTCTGGTGAAGGTCAAGTTAGTTATAAAAGACTTGGGCATTTTCCCTTCTGCTTATCCTATTCCATGTGGAAGAGTCTGCTGACCAAATACAAGCCAAACTGGCAAATGATAAGTGCTAGGCTTTATTAATGGTAAGTCTCTTACTTTACACATTTTTAGATAAATAAATACTGTGACTTTGGACAAATTAAAAAACAACAACACCTTTTCCCACTAGGAAAAGGTCAGATGCCTGATGTATTTAAAATTTTAAAACAGTAACATAGTTGTAGACAAGAAATAAATAACATATTTTCTAACAAAAAGTACTAAAAAAGCTTCAGATTTCTATTTTTCATCTTTATCTCAGTATTAAAACAATATTTATTATTTTAAATGACATGATACCAGAAGTTGGCTAGTTAATATTCGGTTGTCGGAAAAGTCATGACACATTTTCGCAATGAAAAACAGAAAAAATACATCATGACTTTTCTGACAACCCAGTAGTTCTAAATATAGAAACATTTGATAAATACCACTTGTACATAAAACTGCAATGGAAATAAACTGAAATTAAACTAAAGACATGAATGCTATAACATCATAAAAAACAAATAAAATTATACTAACTTAGATCTCACTGATATAGAATATATTTTCATCCACGATACAAGTGGAATTTACCCCTAAAATCTTATTTATACTATGAATCTGCTTAAAAAGTCATTCTACAAGTATTTCTAAGATTATGGTTCATTTATCTACACATAAACCTACTTTTCTAAAACATTCTCGATCAACCACTGCAAACAAGCAAATGCCATTTAAAACTGCGTATTATGGGCCGGCCGAGTGGCGCGATGGTTGAGAGCTGGCTTGGGACACCAGAGGGCCCGGGTTCGGATCCCACATATGAGGGCCAGTGACACTGCCCTCCACAGCTAAGATGCTGAACAACAGCTCAACCTGGAGCTGGGCTGCCGTGAGTCGCCGGTGACGGCGTAGGCTGCAGCCCCTGCTGCAGTGGGTTGCCATGGGCTACCGTGTGTAGTCAGCAGCCAGCGTGAGTGGCCAGCAGCCGCAGTGAGCAGTCGTCCAGAAGCCGGCGACTGATCTGCCTCGCCCGGGAAGAGCGCAATGATGGTGCCAACTTGGGCCAGTGAAGCAACGTCCTCCACAACTAGACTGAAGAACAAAAAGACAGCAACTTGTCTGTTCCCCTTCCCCTAATTCCCCAGCACTGTTCCCATCCCCCCAATTCCCCAATAAAAAAAAATCTTAAAAAAAACAAATAATAAAAAAAATAAAACTGCGTATTACCTCTTGATAGAAGGTCCTTCAAAATCTCTATTTAACAACATACAGGTACAACCTCTATACAATCCAATTGTACAGATATGGATGTTCAAGCTCAGAGAAAGGAGAATTTTTCCAGATCTTAAAATTATTATTTGGTGATAGAATCTTGATTTGAATGCAGCACACTGACTCCTGAGCCCAAAATGTTACACATTAATCCCTATTGCTTCCTACTTGCCAGGCACTGTTATAATCTCTTCCATTTTAACCTTTAATGCTCAAAACAATTTTATGATAGGTAAGTACTATATATTATCTTAGTTTTTAAATTAGTAAACTGAGGCCCAGAGAGTGATAAATTGTCTAAGGTCACAAATCTAAGAAATGGTAGAACCTGATTTTGAACCCAGACATTCTGACTCCAGGTCTTAAACACCAAGTAATACTGCTTCCTTATCTGCCAACCTGCAATATAGAAAAGAAGGGAAAGCTATGTAGCTTTACATATAGTATGAGAAAGTCTTTTATAG